GCGCTACGACGTCGGGGGCCTGGCGTCCTGCACCGGGCGTTGTCCTGCCGAGCCCCTGGCAGACAGGCGAGCTGCCCAGGGAAAGAGCCCAATGCGAGAGAGCTGTCGGCCCGGCCTCTGCGCGGGGGCGCGCCGCGCCGTAAGGGGGGGCCCCCTGGCGGACCCGAGATGAGCCTCCACCCGCTCCTCCGCCCCCCCTCTCCTTGGGGAGCGAAAACTGGCGTATAAACACAAAAACTCGGAGGTCTGCGCAGATTTCCCGAGTCCGCGCTGGACCCTCTTGGCGGCGCCTTTGGTGCCGCCCCTGGCGCGCCTCGCGCGCCAGAGTGGGGGGTCCAGCGCGGATCCGAGAAATCCGCGCGGACCTCCGAGTTTTTGTGCTTATGTTTTTTTTGTTTCGTTCCCCTATCTCCTCCTCTCTCCTCCGCCTCCTTCCCCTCCACGTGCTCCTGCTCCCTGTCGTCCCTCGGCTCCGCCTGCTCGCCCGCCTCGCCTTCTTTGTCGACTTGGGATTAAGTCGGGCCTGTCCCTCTACAGAAGGAATATTCAAGCATAGCCAAGAAATAGTCGGGGGACGATATTTTTTTCTAATTTTTAGCTTTCTCGAATATGTTTGAACTATTTTTCATTTTTCGTCCAAGATCCCCCTGTAGGGGGACATGCCCGACCTAAACTTAGGAGAGTCCAGGCCGCCCAAGTATGGGTGGAGCGGGTGGGGGTCGGAGGACCGTTCTGCATCGCCGGTGCAATCGGCGATGTGGCGCGATCCAATTCTGACTTTTCTCCGTTCCGGCATCATTTATTTCAGCCCCTGTGTGGGCGGCCTCCAGGGTTGGATAAGGAACATTCCGCTCCGTGTAGTGAATTGCGATGCTCGCTCTGGTGGCGGCACGCGTGACTTCGAGTTCTTTACTTGGGACATGGGGAAGCTGCGACTGGTGATTGCACCAGGAAGCTGACCCCCAGGATTGATAATAACGGATCCTCCCTTCGGATTGCTCATCCTCCCTCTCCATATGCTGCGCGCCGCGGGAAAGAGGGAGGGAGAGACAGCCAGTGCAGCAGAAAGGCGCGTGGTCCGATGCGTTTTCGAAACAGCTCGCTTTTCCCTCTTTCGCTTGTGCGGATTGCCCCGCCTCGCCGCCGACGAAAAAGTTCGAAACAGCTCAACGGTTATCATATCATGCTCTGAAGCCCATCTGCGGCCCAAGATCAACAGAGCGGAGCAGTAACGCGCTATCACAAGACAAGTATGGAGGAGCGAGGACTCGTTCAGTGGCTTTGTGTTGACTCGTCATTGTGAGATCCCAATGCCTCAACATTGAATGTTTTAGCGCGCCTGCAGAGCAGAATGGCGAGCCACCTGCGGATTGCTGTCTGCAACAGCGCTTCTGCTCTAGGTGCGCTTACCGGGCTGTACGGCCTTGCCAAAATTCTGGAAGAGCAGCTCCACTTCGAGCGTCTAGACCGCGCCTACTTGGGGTCGGAGAATCACCACGATGCAGCTGCGCTCAAGCTCTGGCACGCGCAACATGTGCAGCGCTTGGACACCAGAGGCTGCGACCAGAGCACGGCCCGTAAGGATCTGGAGCAGGTCGGTATGGACCAGGTCCGCTGGGAAAACCGTGCGGTGTGCGCCAGGCTCGTAAAGGAGGAGCTGGAGCGGAGGAGCGGTGGTGGTGGTGGTGGCCGTGCCGCGGTGGCAGGGACCCTCGAACATCAGGCAGGCGGTGCTTCCACAGTTGTCAGCAGTTGTGCCCTTCTTGCTGGCCCGCAGGCCAACGTTTCTGCCTCGCAGGTCGCTTCCGCTGCGCCCATCGACGGGCCGTCTCTGCAGCAGTCGCCTGGCAGTGGGGCCAAGCCGCAGCCAGTTGCCGCCAGCGATTGGCCAGAGACGGCGAGCTTCACGATCCACGAGCAGCTCAGCACGATCCCCGACTCCGACAACGGGGCCTTTATCCGGGGCAGTTGCCGCAGAGGTGAACTGCTGTCGCTCTACCAGGGCCCGATTCACGCGCCCGTGACTGGCCGTGTACTCGTTTGGTTACAGAACCTTTTTGCCGGCCAGAACTCGTCGGAATACATGTTGTGCTTGACGGACTCTTACATGATAGATGGGGATGCCGCACGAAGATCGACAGCCAGAATCATCGGCGGGAGTTCTGCGGGCCTGGTCGACAAGTGCGTCTCTGGCGCACTGTTCAACCATCCGCCCAGCCACGTTGTGCCAAACGCAATGTTTGTGTCGGTTACGGTCGACACTGCGCAGTACAGCGACCTCCTGAAAGCGGAGCTCAACGATGTGAATTGGTATGCGCGGCAGCCGTGGACATTCGATGGGCGGCGCTACGTGCGCACGGCGGCGCTCATCGCCCTGTGCGACGTCTGCAACGAGGAGCTGTTTGTCGATTATGGATTCCCGTCTGATGCGGAGGGTGAGTTCACCACGAGGCGGCCAGCATGGTATGCGGATTGCGGGGGCGATGCTACACGTGCTTAGCTCGTTCGATCTCCACTCGGTGCTCCAGAGCGGTTCGTTTCAGAGACTCCCCGCGCGATCAGTCCACACAGGTCTGTGCAGTGTGGCAGTGGCGCCCAGCGAGGTGCCTTTCCGGCTTTGGATCTGGGGCGGCCGACGCACGAGCGCTCGTGGCCCGGCGCCACCGCACGGGCGCGGCCTGCGGCTGGAGTGGTGATGGCCGTGCTTGAGAGCGTGCTGGCCGCCCAGCTTGCAGAGAGACGCCCAATCGCAATGATCTCGAGTGGCTTTCGGCCCAACCCGCCTCCGAGTCTGGGTTTGGACCAGGGGTCTCTGAGATGCCTCTGGGGATCTTTTGGGAGGCCTCTCGATAGCATCTCGAAGGCCTCTCTGGACCCTCTCGGGGGTCTCCCTCGGGCCTCTTGTGGGCTTGCTGGGGCCTCTCAGGGGCCCACTCGTGGTCACGTAGGCCAACTTCGGATCCAGGGCTCCAATGCCAGTTTGTGCTCCCCCTCTCTGGGCCGCCGTTGAGGCCTCTTGGGCCCCTTCTTCGGTACCCGAATACCGTTCTCGGGCGATGCTGGGGCCTTTGGCCCGTGCAGGGCGCTCGTGTGACCGAAAAGGCGAGCGGGCTAAAGTTACTGAAACACGTGCTTTTTCACTGATGTTGGCTCCTGGGGGCGGCTCCGAGAGCCCATGATCTCCAAGACGGCCCAAGAGGCGCCCAGGAGGGCGCCATCTGAAAGCACCTTGGGCGTCTGGAATCCCAGAGGGCTTCATCTGAAAGCAACGTTGGGCCTTTGGAATCCCAGAGGGCTCCATGTGAAAGCACGTTGGGCGTATGCAGTTCCAGTCGTGCTCCCGAGGCCTCGCGAGAAAAGTCACGCGACAAGGCGCAGAAGCGCCCAGGAGCGCCCCTCATCGCCCCCAAGAGCGTCCAGAACTCATGCCATGCCCCTGAGTCCTCAGAAAGGATTCACAATACCTCAGACAACGGATTTGACGGGATTTCGGAGCACTCCATTTGTGCCCCGTGGCTCGGTGGCGGATTTCTATTCTTATACAAGTGTCAGATGCGTGTCCAATTTAATCTATGCGTAGTATGGCGGGCGAATGGCGAGGCTTCACACTTTCTCATTGGCTCGACACACAACACATATATGCACATATGTTTATGTACACATATATGTATACACATGCACATGCTTTGAAGTCGTGTGCATTTGCGCATTTACACATGCACACATGTACGCACATATACCTATACGACCACCCTTCGGGTGATAAGGAGGTTGTGGGGGGAGAGGGGTGAACCAACATTCTACTCACTCGATCTCACTATCGATCTCACTCAATGGGACCCCACGGGACATCACGGGACCCCACGGGACACCACGGGACACCACGGGACACTTGTCGATCTCACTATCGATCTCATTATCGATCTCACTCAACGGGACACCACGGGACACCAGGGGCTATCACGGGACGCCACGGGACACCGCGGGACACCTCTCGATCTCACTATCGGTCTCACTATCGATCTCACTCAACGGGACACCAGAGGACGCCTCGGGACACCACATCGATCTCACTATCCATCTCACTATTGATGTCACTACCGATCACTCAACCGGGCACCACGGGACACCGCGGGACACCACGGGGCACCACGGGACACCGCGGAACACCGCGAGCCACCGCCGGACGGACGGACGGACGGGCGGGCGGGGGAGAATCATTTGTTTTGATTTCGCCCTAGCAACAGCGGACACCACTGGACACCACGAGACACCACGGGACACCGCGGGACACCGCGAGCCACCGCCGGACGGGCGGGAGGAGGAGAATCGTTTGTCTTGACTTCGCCCTAGCAACGGCGGACACCATGGGACACCACGGGACACCACGGGACACCACGGGACACCACGGGACACCGCGGGCCACCGCCGGACGGGCGGGAGTGGGAGAATCATTTGTCCTTCTTTTCGCCCCAGCAACGGCGGACACCGCGGGACACCACGGGACACCACGGGACACCGCGGGACACCGCGGGCCACCGCTGGACTGGCGGGAGTGGGAGCATCATTTCTCTTGACTTCGCCCTAGCAGCGGCGGGTTCATTCCTCTCGCGCGCCCACGCAGCTTCGCCTCGCTCGCACGCACGACACGAACGAAACGAAACGATTTCCCGGTTGGGTGTCTCCGTTCCATTGCGATCTCACCCCCCAACCTCCGATACATAAGATATAAACATATGATGTATGCAAGTACGCTGTTATAGACACAAACATAGGTATATGTATATGTACCTGTACGACCACCCTTCGGGTGATAAGGAGGTTCGGGGGGGGAGGAACCAACGTCTCACTCGATCGGTCTCACTATCGATCTCACTATCGGTCTCGCTCGATCGATCTCACTCGATCGATCTCACAATCGATCTCACTCGATCTATTTCATTCGACCGATCTCACAATCGATCTGATTATCGATCTCACAAACGATCTCACTATCGATATCACAATCGATATCACAATCGATCTCACATTCGGTCTCCCTATCGATCTCACTATCGATATCACAATCGATCTCACAATCAACGTCATCATCATCATCATCAACATCATCGTCGTCAACGTCATCAACATCATCATCATCATTGGGGCACCATCATCATCACCACCTCATCACCATCATCATCATCATCATCATAACCATCATCATCATCGGGACACCATCATCGTCACCATCAGCATCACCATCATCATCATCGGGAGACCATCATCATCATCATCTGCATCGGAACGCCACCATCATCATCATCATCATCTCATCATCATCATGAGCAACAGCATCAACATCATCATCATCATCATCATCATCATCATCATCTGGGCACCATCATCATCAGCATCATCATCATCATCATCATCATCATTGGGACACCATCATCATCGTCACCATCATCATCACCATCATCATCATCATCAACGGGACACCGCCATCATCATCATCATCATCAACATCAGCATCATCATCATCATCATCATCGGGCCATCATCATCAGAATCATCATCGGGACACCATCATCATCACCACCATGACCATCATCATCACCATCATCATCATCAGCATCATCATCAACATCATCATCATAATCATCATCCGGACACCATCACCACCATCACCATCACCACCATCATCATCATCATCAACTTCATCGACATCATCGACATTATCATCATCATCACCATCATCATCATCATCATCAACATCATCAACATCGTCAACATCATCATGATCATCATCATTGGGACACCATCACCACCATCACCATCACCATCATCATCATCAACATCATCGACATCATCGACATCATCATCATCATCATCATCATCATCATCACCATCATCATTATCGGGACACCGACGGGACACCGGGGGGACTCCGGCGGGACACCGCGGGCCACCGGCCCCCGGAAAGGAATCATTTGGTCCGGCCGCGCCTCAGCCGGAGGCGGGACACCGGCGTGACACCGCGGGCCACCGGCCCCCGGACAGGAATCATTTGGTCCGGCCGCGCCTCAGCCGGAGGAGACTTTCTTCCCGTCCGCCCACCCAGCCTCGCCTCGCCCGCACGCACGGCACGCACGAACACGAAACCGAAACCGATTTCCCCGTAGGGGGGCTCTCCGTTCCACTTCGATCTCATCCCTCACCTCCGATGTATATAATAGATGCACACCCGTATATGTGTGTATATATAAAACGACCTATACAAAGAGACCTATACACATAGAAAACGGACCCTGCACAACTCCAGCCCTGGCCGGACATGGTCAAGTGCACATTTTCGCTCGTTGCGGATGCTTCGAGCGAAATGCTTGCTTTGCAGTCTTTGTAGAAAGGATGTCTCGAGCGAAACGTTGGTTTTGTCCTATATATTGATCCTCTCCTGGGGGCCAGGATTCACAGGATGCCTCGGGCGAAGTGCTTGTTTTCACGTGCCCAGGTCGCCCAGGGGGTTTCTCACATGGTTGTCCTTAGATGGAACCGATTGTTTTCACGTGTCCAGGCCCCCAGAGGTGGTATCAAATATGGTGATCCCGAGCTGGAACCTGGTGTTTTCACGTGTCCAGGCCACCCAGGTATCTTACAAGGTTGTCCCTAGCTGGAACTACGTGTTTCTACGTATCCATGCCACCCATGGGGGTATCTAACATTGTTGCCCCGAGCTGGAACAACGTGTTTTTACATGTGCGGGCCACCCACGGGATGGGTATTTAACACGTGATGGCCTGGGGGCCCACGAGAGCCAAAAAACTTTACTACATCGACACCAGATGTGTAATCACTTGACACAGTTTCTTCGGCCTGTGATTTTTCCCCAATCAGTGCTTGCACTGAAGGGTCCTAGCGGAGATTGAAGGATTTGGCGAAAGTTTGCGGCCGATTTCGGTGGGCGGCCGTGTTCCCGGGTTCCCGATTCCAGGTTCCCGGGTTCTCCGTTCAGGGCCGATCTCGGTGGCCGTCGGGGTTCTGGGGTTCCCGGGTTCCTGGTCGATTTTTTTATCGATCGGTCTCACCATCGATCTCATTACCCACCTCTCCATCGATCTCACCATCGATCTCACAATCGATCTCATTATCGATCTCACAGGCGATCTCACTATAGATCGCACGAGCGATCTCGCGATCGATCTCACTATCGATCTTATTGAATCGACTTCTTTCTCGGTCTCGCGATCGACCTTACAATCGTCTTCTCTATCGATTCCACTATCGATCTCACTATCGATCTCATAATCGATCTCAAGATCCATATTACTAACTTTCAAACCATCCACTGATTGGTTTTTTTCTGGTGTAATTTAGATTCCCCCCTGGGGTATCGAACATGGTGGTCCCAAGCTGGAACCAAGTGTTTATACGTGTCCAGGCCACCGGAGAGGTATCTAAGATGGTGGCCCCGAGCTGGAACCATGTGTTCTCACGTGTCCAGGCCACCCAGTAGGGCAT